GTGTTCTGGGCCCACAGAACTACGGGCCACACGATTCATCTACTAACAACTACAACAACCTTGAACATCCGTTCACTTATTTCCACTTCCTTGCTCTGAGCACTTTATCACCTACGCATGGATTGGGAACTAAACCCGGATCGAAACTCAACTTAGCCCAAACCCAGACTTGTACGAATAGATGCACTGACCTACATCAACCGGTACCTGCGACCCGTTATAAAGAGGGAAAACCGCTAAGATTCCTATCAAATGTCCGCGGTGAGGTATAGTTCAACAAAACTTAACTGTTTTATATTTCCCACTTTTAATTCTGGGAACCCTACAGTGGTATTTTTGGACAACACGGAGGCAAAAGAGGCTCCTAAGATTTTGAGACTTCCTTGAAACAGAGCTATGGATTTTTAACCCCGCACTATCGTCAATTATTCCCAAACTTTTTGCCAGAATGACAAGTGCTCCGCATTTTTCAAGCCTACTTCACTCTGTACACAGTGAAATTTATTGAATCGTTGGCCCAGGTTTTGCCTATGAGAAATTGCGTCAGGTGTTCCGAGCGGATTTTCAAGTGTTTGCAAACTGACAACAGGTACAACTCAAAGCAGAATAGTCATGATGACTACTGTACATCTAAGCAAGACTAAATTTCCTTATGCCATTAAACTCGAGGCCTGATTCGTAATTCGCTCTGAGACTAAAATAAGATAGGAGGTGGCTGTGAGAGTTAGATTTGACCTTCGGTTCTATAGGAGGGTCAGGCTTAAGTTGTGAACTTTTCCGGGAGCACAACTCTCTTCCTCTCCAATGATCAACCCGGAACGGACTGGTCTTGATCATCGTGGGAATGGGGAACTTTTAAAAACTTATGGGCCCTACTGAACATATGAGTAATAACTGGTCTACTTTTTCCGTGTCAAAGTGCCAGTTTATTTGNCCAGGTCCATTTCATGAGCTCGGGAACTGGATAACAAGCCAGGTCAGCTAGTTGAATGACCACCAGTCCACCTGACAGATGCCTCCCTCGCCACCACCTTCAAGTTAGCTTTCAGTCGGAGTGTAAAATGCCATCACTCTGGCTCTTCACTAACGTGTGACAACTGTTTTTGTTTATCTAAAGACCTTCATTTACAGCTGAACACACCAACGCCATTAAGTGCCTATTGCAGGCAGCCCATAGAAAGCACATTCTTAATGAACGGGGATTTTGAACGAAAAAAATATAAAAAGGAAAAAGGGAAAGTTTCAGGTTCCAGGTAGATCTCGTACAGCCATCAGAAAAGAAGCTAACCTGCTGCAGCTCACAGAGTCGTTCCAACTCCTGAATTCGATTATCACTTCGCCGAAGTTGTCGTTCAAGCATCGTCACCGTATTCTCCAACAATCGATGTCCCTCATCGAACGATCGCGCCGTATCACTCCTGAAATCGATAAAATCAATAAAATAATCCTGAAAAATTTCCAGAAAGATCCTACAGTATCCTTCTATCGGTCATATACTGCCAGAATGTTATTTTTTCATTTCACAACAATCATCAATCGAGTGTTGACAGATGATCTTCCTGTTCTGTTTGCAATAACAACATCCTCCAAGCAGCTACCACATCCTCTCTTAATAAATCCAGTAATACCAGGGAGGTCTTTTGGAAGAAGGGAAGCCTCGGTTACTCAAAGAAAGTAAAATTTCTGGTGAAATCCATCCAAGACCACACGATTGCGATGGCACATGACTTTACAGCGAAGGCTTCGACGCCAATACTGATTCGATCACTGGGTCAAGGGACTCGAAAATAAAACCGCAGACGAAAATCCAACCATCAACAAAGAATAGAGCAAGGAGCAGGCCGAATTCCGATTGGACTTTGATTTTTTAGACTATTTTCGGCCCTGGACGAGAAGGACATGGAAAAGCGGTTACTTGGACGAGATCTCAATTACAATTAACCTGCTAAGACCCCCTACCGCCCTTTCTACCCTTGCAAATGTAAATCTCTAATGCAACTTTTACTTATGTTCATTCTAATTTGTAGCTATCTTTTGCTTGAGACCGTCTTCAGCTAAAGGGGGATATAGGAGCGACAGTTCTGAGGCAAAAGATCCTCGAATCGACTTCCATTTTCGATGAATTTTATCCAAAAAACAGAAAATTAATGTCTCCAACACGTTGCTCACAATTGGGAGCAGCATAAACAAATAACTAAAGGGCGTTTATCTATTCAGCTCATGTTGGGCAATTACCTGCTCAAAACACTAACAGTAAAGCTTCTGTGCACTCTTTCACTTCCAATGCCTAACCCCTAATTGACTTCATAAACTTATGGCCCCTGACGCTTTGCTGTTTCAATGGACAGAGCGGTGTTTTGAAAAATTATTTTTAGCCTCCGTTTACAGAAAACAAAAACACATATTGTCATTCCCTTCGATTGTTTGCACAGGTGATTCAGTTGTTGCTCCTTGGTGAGGAGCAACAGCACCGGAAACTCAAAATATTAGGAAAATCCGAGAGTGCGAGGATTTTGCCTCGAAGTGGTTTCAAGTTGTTTTCAAGTTAAATGCTAGCGAGCAGCACATTAGCGTCATAATTTTAACCATTTCCGGAAATGTTTTGGTTATTTCCATCAACGTTAAGGACACCATTTCCTATCAAGCTCGACAAAGTCGCTAATGCGGCAGCAAGACCAACACCTCTCTGGAGCGGGAGGAAAAGACCGCTGAAGCTACTTGTAGTCCCTGGCTAGCCATTTGACCCTGAACCATATCCCTTTCGAGCCAGTTCGTTATACGAGCTGAACAAAGCCGATCGTCACAGACCTGCCTTCCATAGGCAATGCATCAGGCGCAGGAAGCATGAGAATGCGAGAGGAGAGGGATGCAGAGATGAGTCAGGCACTAGAATTCGCAAACCGAAATTTTCTTTCAATTAATACCAACCATTTACCGGAATAGGTAGAATCCCTAATGTCCTCGTAACCCTGGTAACGAGTCAGCGATCTGGAAGAAAAATAGCAACCTTTGAAGGAAACCTTCAATGAGAACGTGAACGGTCACGCAACCAATTCCTAAGGCCCGTACGTAAACGGAAGGGCTATACTGGGAAATAAACGCCGAGCCAGAAGGTGCGGGATTTCAGTGTTGGAGCGATTCAGTGACTACAAACTGGGAACAGTCAAGTATCTCAGGAACACCTTTCCAACGTTAACTAATCCCAACCATTTACAGACATGAAACACCCTCAACGGGTAAAGTCACTTTTTCCCCAATCACTGGCCTTATAACCTCATCCCTTTTGTCTGAAAACTAAGCTAGTTCCAGGTTTTTTTAAGTCAGAAGAAATACCAGTTCCCCAATAAGTATAATCGTGTGAGAGCCGGAAGCTAAAGATTTACCCGGTCTGTCAGGTGCTTTAAGCACAATCCTGATGGCATCATACACTTTATAAACTCTGAACTGGTTTACATGAACCTCAAGGATCATATGTTGGGGGGCTTAACGACCACATGATTTGATGGTCCTATGTACATAAAATGACNACCATATCCCTTTCGAGCCAGATCGTTATACGTGCTGAACAAAGCCCATCGTCACAGACCTGCCTTCCATAGGCAATGTATCAGGGCACAGGAAGCATGAGAATGCGAGAGGAGAGGGATGCAGAGNCCCAATAAGTATAATCGTGTGAGAGCCGGATTAAAGATTTACCCGGTCTATCATTTACTCGGTCTAGGCGCTTTAAGCACAATCCTGATGGCATCACACAATTTATAAACTCTGAACTGATTTACATGAACCTCAAGGATCATATGTTGGAGGATTTAACGACCACATGATTTGATGGTCCTATGTACATAAAATGACGAAAATGCGAACCATAAAAAATGTGCCACTATTAAGAGTTTCACTTGTAAAGTTCCTAAAATAAAAGCTCAAACGATTCAATGCATGGGACTAGTCAACATCGGTTGATTTGCTTTGCTGACAAGAATGGTACCATCGAAGATTTAGCTACATTACAGTGTTTATTCCCAACCCGTCGGTGAAATTTCCGCGGTTTAGTAATCTTAGAAGGCTGATGTTCAAGCACAATTCATTTAGGAATATTCCATTACTCAACACTGAAACACTAGCTTCACTAGCACTAGCTAAAACACTTCAGTTTCTTTGTGGGGTAGAAATCTCCTCATAAGTACTGCTCATTTTTAAAGAGCCTCTGAAGAGGCCTTCAAAAAGCAAAAACACCCAGCTTCGTTATGGCTGTAACTGCAGGAATAACAACTAAAACAAACAGCTCAGCAACGAGGAGTATTCAGGTGAGTGGGGGTCATAATTGGGAATTTTGAAAAAAAGGAAGGGAGTAGATAAAGCCCATATCACAGGCTGCAGTGTAGGACTACACTCGTTTACCCTGAATTTTCTCTATGGGTACGACGGGAAAAGTTCGTTTTTGATATACAAATCAGGAGAATTAAGTTTAGTAGCACCGCGCGTGGTGTAGTGGCAGGTGGCGCGCTATCACACACACTCACGGTTACGGGTTCGAATCCCGAATCGACATACGCTTAGATCGACTTCCATTACTGGTTGATTGGTTTCTCGTTTTGTATCGTTATTACTATAAGTTCTCAGCACCTCTTACCATTGCATTCGAATCAGAGTGCTGTGCATTCTTCCAGCTCAAAGGCAACTTTTAAGCCCTCATTCCTCAGGTGTCCATAGAAAAAAAGTACTTCCAGCTGTAAGATTCGTGATGAATCGAGGCCACTTCAGGCCGGCGATTTACTTGATGGACGCAACTCGGGCTCTTCTTTTGTTACACTACTCGTCGAAAAACTTAATGGCCGTCGTTCAGAGTGATTATTGCTCATACCAGAGCTATTTTTTCTCTCACCCTGACAACTCTTCTAGTCATAAAACCTACGACTATTAAACGACCAACAGGCAACTTTCAGGGGAAAATCTATTTTTTCACTGCTCCAATGAGGTGGAAATCGAGGAAGAGATCAAAATAGATGACCAAACCACCTATAACTGTTGAACTTGTGAAGAACGCTACGGAAATTAGAGCTGTTCCTCAGGTACTAGGCGAATGAAGCAAAGGGCCATGAAACATTTCAACAGGGAGGAGCACTGAACGTGGCATCGCTTCTAAACTGGAAAAGAACTTCGAAGAAACATTCTCTAGCATGATCACTTGTGAAGTCTAGCTTATGATAGCTCAGGCTCAAGTATGCCTCCAAACCGCAGATCATTTCCGTTAAGTCGATGGTGATCAGTTGCAGGAGGGCTCTATTCAAAAAGTCAACCAAGGGAGAAGACAAAATTTGTGCTACAAGTACTGTAACGTCCGAACATAAGAGCCTTCATTTCTGTGTGGCTATATGCTGTTTCTTCTAAAAAGGAATCCTCCACCATTCCATCATCAGAAAAAAAGAGAACCGGTTGGAATCAATACTGTTTTTCTGAAAGAGCCTTTCCGAAAAAATGCCCGTAACTCACCCCGATCCATCATCTCTTAAATTTCCGTTCAGAATCGACACCTCCGCATCTAAATCGTCTACGCTCTCGGCTGCCACGATGGGTGCAGTTCCACAAGTGGCCAACGATAGCATTGACTCATCACTACGTCGGATCACGTCACTTCGTGCCCTGAAAACGGATACACTCAGAAGTTCTTACATCACGAATAACAAGGGACGAATTTTCATCAGAATTTTCGAAAATTCAACTTGTTCTGAAAGCAAACCAGTCCAGGGTTCCGAGGGCTACAATAGATACAGCAGATATATTACATGCTTCCGCTAACCAAGAAGCATCGAAAAATGCTCCATTGCGAACTGTACAAATAGAAACTGTGTGGTTTTGAGAGCACATTTCGCTTCGATCGAATGGACGGTGGCAAAATTCACTCTCACTCTGCCCACTGGGGAATCGTTCTTTCCTGGGAAGTAATACTATTGAAGCAAAGCAAGTAATGGAACTATGTGATGTGATCAAACCCACCCGAGGCGTGACTCTACTTGCAGCTTGTGACCAGTAATTTTTTTTCGGACTAAATATCTCAACACTGGTCTATCCACTAATTGAAGGCGTCCATTTAGGAGATTAAGGCTTCAAACTGAATAGAGATTCAGTACTATTACAAGTCGAATAGCGATTTTTTTGTTGTTTCTTTATTTCAACGCTACAAAAAATCCGCAAATTACTCAAAACAGTTGATTGGCCACTGTTACTTTCAATGTTGATCTATGTTCTGAAGCACATTTCAAACTGATTTCTGATCCTGTTATAGTAGGATTGCTCTTAGGAAGGCACTTAGGCAGTACGAGGGCTGACTGATGGCGTTATCGAAGTGAAAAAAGCTTCAAATGGCATGTTCTGAAGAACAGAAATCGATCCCTACAAAAAACGCCAACTCCCAATTGACTTAATAACTTCCCCTCGTGCCACATACTTGAAAACCAGGTTGGTGGCCATTAGTGTTACGGAAGGAAGGAAAGCTTATTCTTGTAGAACGTTTCCGATTCGATCTTATGCCAAGTAAAAGCCTCGAGCCTTCGTACTATCATATGCACACGTGCATGCTACAGTGATATGGAGGGGTCAGGAGGCGCCGCTGACACGGACTATGGACAAAGGCTGGAATTGAGCGCACCGAAACCCTCGTTTTGTCGAGGTTGGTTGATATCATTATTTTCTGGAAAGTTGTCACAAGAGGCCATTATAGGGAACCACCCTCGCATCCCAATACTACTTCAAATCTGGGGCTGAACACGTCGTCCTTTAGAACGAACTGCTTACATCGAGCGATCAAAATTTCAGTTTATCTTTACAAAGGATGAATAACTGGGACCCACCCTTTCATTCCATTCTTCGTCTCAGCCGTCCGGTAGTACTGCTTGAAAGGATTCGATCCGGTGTGAATCGGTTCGTCAATGGGACGTCGCTGAGGTGTTGTTGGTTCAGTGTCGAAATGCAACGGTGACGGAACTAGCCGCGGAGAAATCCTTGAATCGCCCGGACAACGCAACGGTGGATTTAGACTTCGTGCACGCTGCATATGTCGATCCAGCGACAGTTGACGATCTCGTGGAGATGGTGATAAGCGTAGTTTTTCAGCTTTTAGTGGTGGTGTTTCAAGTGAACCACGAAGTGATGAACGTGTCGTCGACGATTGTCGGATCTCTATTGGTTCCGTGATCGGAGCAGGAGGTTCCACATCGATAAGGACTGGAGTGAACAGTTCTTCTGGGCGAACTAGCGCATCTTCTTGAGATGGAGGCCGGGTGTCTTTGATGCTTTCGGTTGGAGATGGAGCATGATGAAGTTCGGCAACCGCATCGGCCGCCTCTTCAATTTCTTCTTCTGATTTCGGGCTGAAATACAGGAAATACAATAAAGGAATTCCGCACATTTTGAGTGATTTCGAAAATGAGGTTATCGTTGAGTTGAGTCAATTGTCAAACCTTTGCGGCATGTTTACGATGGTCAATTTGACATGGCCTCACAGCCACGCTCTATCCGTCTTTCCAGTACAATTTTTAATTTCTCTAGTAACATTAGTGCGGTGAAAAGTCCTTTTATGTTCAAAAAATGAAAATTAAAATCGATAGCTTGTATGAAACTGTTTTGTAGTTTCATCCTCTCATTAATAAAATACGTCCTAGTAAATTTTCTACTTGGGTAGAAGTAGAGCTGGAGTGGAGACGCTAGGCCTAGGACATACTCGACAGAGCGAATGAGCGTTTAGCGTACACAACTACATGAATAAACTAGGTATGCACCAATTGGGATTGTGAAATGTGGAAACCAAATATGAAGGCATTTCTCTGAGGGCAACTAGTCTCGAAGTAACTTCCAGAGTACAGGTCCTTTGAGCAGATTCGGTACCATGCATCGTGCTACTCAGCTCAAATAGTGGATCGAATCAAGCGGATAGGTGGATCATGGATTCAGGCGGGGTGGTTGGGTGTGGTGCAGTAGGAACGAAAATGTCGCGCCGCGACGAGAAGACGCCGTGCGCGAAGGTATGTCGCAACTTGTCGTCCACTACAGACCTAGAAGCGCTGCGAAATCGTCTTCAGGAACCGAGTTAAGACCTCCAATATTTCAGCGAGTGCCATGGAAAATTGTCCTTATAGTCATTCGAAAAATACTCTTTTTAGCCTCCTTGTACGGGCTTCAATAAACCGACTGTAGCTTGATATGATATATTCGTTATAACTTTTGCAGTATTTTCTCGTATAACACGATTTTCCAGTATACAGTGGGCAGTGGGAATGACTAAAAGGGAAACACTTAGCACGCAGGACTCCTTTATGCTAACGGATTATCGTGCACCTTTCAAGGAGCGTAGTGTCTACGATCGCCGTTAATCCGCTTAAAACGTGATAATATCAACAAAGAAAGCGACTGCTCAAGGTTTCACACCTTCCCGAAAGAAACATTCTATAAAACTTAAGGGGCCAATGTACAAGTCAATATTTTCATACTCCCAAGCGGTTATGATACTAACATACTCCATATTTCCTCTTGATAGTGCCATTTGGGAGCATTTCTCTTGGTTGTAAGCAAGCAAGAAACCTAATTTTTCTCGCTTCCTTCTTATAGCTTACATATTAACATATATTTTTTGCTCATACATCTGACTTTCTCATCAGACTTTCATTTCTGTTCGTCTTCTAGGGCGGAAGTGATATAGTGTCAAGTGGCGCACTATCGCACACGCATGCTCGCGGGTTTGAATCCCGGATCTATATCCGCCTAAGCCAACCAAGCCTTCCATGCATTCGGGGTCGGCTAATTGTACCAGACTCATCTGGGAGGAAATAGCACTGACTTGCACATCGGCTGGGAACCGCAAGTCATAGGCAACCTGCGCATTCAATACGCCACCACGATTTTGAATGGAAGTCAAATGTGTGGGCCCTGACGCTTCAGACGGGATTGATTGACGCCCTAAGAATTTTAAGTAGGGTGGAGATAGTTTTCGCGTCGAAAAGCGCACCACCACATGCATGGTCCAATGGTCTAACCACCAATTCACAACGCCATAGTCATCAAGATGAAGTAGTGGTTATCATGGTGAGTAGTTTCAATTGCCCAACATAGCTTTCCACTCCTCAACTGGTACCAAGTTGGTCCATGAGAGTATTTGACCCATCGGCTAGCCATCGCAAGCCACTCAATTGGCCATACAAGCATTCAAAACACCACTGCGATTCAAATGGAAGTCGGATGCAGGGCACATCCCAAAAACGGGACTTGTCAGTGCCGGAAACTTTTTTTCTTCTATTTAATGAACACACAATTGCTGTCATAGTAACTACTACTCTAACAAAAAAAGTCGGTTCCCTTTTCTTAACGACTCAAGCCAGAATCGATCCCTGGACCATTTGTTCAAGAGGTGCGCCCGTCGACATCACCTCACATTGTCTATGGGATTCGATGAAAGCATTCATTGACCTTGCAGAAGGCTTTCCGGAAATTTCAATGAGCCAATGGCAACAAATATTCCACAGCTTCGTCATTTTAGAGCTAAATTTTCTGCCAATTTCACATTTATCGCATCAATTGCCAGAGAAATCAGTCAAAGTGCAACGCAATAAAAGGATTGCCACCATGAATCATCATATACCAAAATGTCTAGTCATCATTTGCATGGTTCATTTAATCGACTGAATATAACCGGTTGGACAGATGAAGAGGTAAATGATGGCCGAACACGGATCAATAACTCTGTAGCAATTTCGAATCTGATGACAATATTTATGTTTGTGAGGGGTCTAATACGAACCGACAAATTAGTCGTAACTCTGCTACGATCAGTCTTAGAAGGTACTAAGCCGAAACAAGCTCCAAGTAAGAAGTTGTCGAAAGCGAAGAATGGCAAAATCACCACACACTACCTGATTACAATGTTGTTCAACTCGGTAAATTAAAAAAAAAAGTAGAGAATTTTGGTCAAAATAATCTAAAAAAAATTGAAAATCCGGGCTGAAGTAAGAATAAATGTGCAAATTGTTATACTACACATTGAACGCTTGTGCAGGTATTAAATACAAAACTGAGGTAAGTTAACGGTAACTTAGGTCATAGAGCTGATATAAACTAAGTGTTCCCAGACTTTGCTTAACAATTAATACGATTAAAGCCTGAGATTGCCTATGACAATTGCATAGTGTTAAATTTTGCCAAAGATTAGAGTCACATTTCACAGGAGAATAGGTATGGGTTGGGAGGTCGATTTGAAAAGGCCAAGTGCCAACTGACCTATCAAAACAAAACACAAAACATGGAATTATGGTATCTGCCTGTCAATTTTANGGGGGAGGGTTTATTTTTTGATGGAATGAAGAGTTGTGGACAGACAAGTTTTTTCTGCAGGCCGTATGATACACTGAAGCTCAACAAACCACTGTCACCCAAGCGCAGTCTTCATGAAGTTCTGGTATTGCCTCTCAAAAAAAAGTTTTTTTTCTTTTTATAATGAGCATAAGGGCAAGAAAAGGAAATTCCAATCTCCTGGCATTCTCCAGCTCCTCCAGACATTCATATATCAAGTCTATGTAAAACAGCATACACCCTTGTCAAAATTGTCTACCTCCAAATTGCAGGGAAAGAACAGCAGTTGAACCCACAACAGGACCACCCGGACTCTATATAAAGACAAAAACAAGTAAGACACAACGCCAATCAGACTGACAATGAGACCCCTCTTCATGAAATATTCACTAGGGATGCCCCAATGATTGCAGTCCAATCGCTGTTTTGCAGCTGCCATCGCCAAAACGATAAAACAGGGGTTAATCAAAATTCATCTTCATTCCCACATTTTTAGGAAAAGGGACCACTCGCAGGCAAGCTCAGCTCACCAAAGCTGGGCAAGGGATCCCAAAGTCAGATTTGTACATGAGTAATTGTGTTTATCAATTTCGAGAACCAAGGTGAGCTTTCCTTGCTAACAAGACTTTCTACACGGGCAAAATTTACTCTACACCATTATAGGAGGCGAAAAGCAATGCTAATAAAGATGCTGATGTCATTGAATGGGTAGGAATATCAACAAGCGAGCCTTATTCTCCTATGACAACAGAATTGGATCGCAAAAAATAGTATTAATTTCAAAACTGGCATTTTGTCTTAAGTTCGCGCTAAAAGTATGCCACGTACCCGAGAATTCTTTTTCGGATCCCTCCGGTCACCTTCGGCTACAGCGGAATATATCTCTAATTGGAAGTCGCACTGAATATATTAATCTGGTATGATGACATTAATAGCTCAACCTTCCCCCAAAGCACCATCCGCTCAACCTTCGCCCCTGTTGCTTTCAGAGCGCTAATAGGAATCTCAAGACCCAAAGTGGAATTATGACCGGTCCGAAAGCTACGTAATTGAAAATGACAGATGTTCAACTGCACTGGCTTTTGGCCAATAGCCTACACCACTACAATTTCAGTTCCCACACGGAACCAGCTGAGAGACCAATAATAACCAACTAACAGTTCCGTGGTGGAAACTCTTTTTCAAAGAAATTACGAGAGCTCGAACAAAACTGTTGTCCGGGTAAAAAGATGAATATAGAAGGGTAGCAGAGTTTGAGTGAAGCTCACAATACCATTCACATTACATTTATAAAAAACGATGTGGTTCGTATGAATGAAAGGGGAGAAAGAAACCACCGAGTAAGTTTTTACTAGGTTCATGTTTTTTAATCAATATTTTTACTTACTTTTACCAATTTTACTATTTTTTTGACTCATATTTGTCATTTTCTAATTGTCAACATTTCACTGAGTTTCTTGAGTCCACCACAACAAGTGACGCCACTTTTTCTAGAACAGACCGCAAAAAAGATGAACAACTTTGTTCTACCCCTCAGTAATTGTATATAACATAGTAAAATTTCCCTCGCTTATAACTAACAACAATAAAACAGAGAACAACATCTGGGAAACTTCCTCGCTCCCCGGATTTCTGTTGAAATGTGGTTTTCCTAAACTTTCCCGAAGTTTTTCTTTTTCGTGGAAGAGCTTCATTCATCACTTACATTTTCCTTTCATAGAACATACGCCAGTCTTTCACGTTGCCATGACCACAAAATTTGAACAATCGAAAAACAACTTCAGTCGAGAAACCAAACTCACTTATCCATTTTTCATCTTTTTGATCTTGGAACTTTGAAAGGTCCGAAATTTCGAACGCACCGAGTCATCGGTAAGTTAAGAAGGTGTTAAAGAAGTGCGAAGTTCGAGGTTGCCTACCTGTTCATTCGACATTCCTGAACCTTCTGTTTCACCTCGATCAACTTAATGATCTCTTCACAATCTTCTCGTTCATCGACAGAACGATAATCCGGCTTAGTCACCTAAAAAATGGTTATAAATAAACAAAACGAGAATGCAAAAAAAAAATTGTTTATGCGATTTATGTAATTTGAAGCCTCAGTCAGTCCTTTCTTCAATAAAAATACAGCCCTTACCAAAAAAGACGACAAAATTCAGATAGAAACGGCATCAGGCGTCCATTCCGCTTTTTAATCAAACAAGAGAAAGAAGTAATAATGGAATATGATTTCTATTGATATCCCGAAGCTCAGCAAGTGAAATAGTTCACAAAAGTTGAGTGATATTGTGCACTCCATTTTCAAATTACTTTTTTATTTTAACAATAATGCACCCCTAAGACACGAAACCACCTGAGAAAGAAATCTAAACTTCATATCGTTATTCAGATCCGACGTTATCAACTTCGGACTGCCTGAACGTCCTCGTAATCGCACTGGTTTCGATGTCGTGGTCAATTGACCTGAACAATTCAGCTTTTAAACACTAAAGGAGCTATGGCGTTTCCTAATCCCACACTCACCAGGGCGAAGCTGTAGCAGTACGGGAGCGGCATCCAATCCTGCACGCCATTCAACCAAAGAAACAGCTGGTGTAGGACCCCGTGTAGGAGGATACAAATCGGGATGAAATTGGTCACCCTGAAAGCATAGACGTAGCTGTCAGAAAATAAGAAAAAAACAGAAAGCAAGGGTGAATTTCTGCGGAAGATGAGACTTACTAGAAACCAGAAACCCTAAAAAAGAAAGAAAAAATGATTGGTTTTCCACTTACTCGTTTTGGAACAATGAATGAAAGTGGTTGGATAAGTAACGACTGCGGATTCAACCTATAATTATGAAACTCATAGGTTGTAACGATAAAAGCCCAGTCAGAGAAAAACTATATAAGGGCCGGATACAGCGAAACGAGGCAGAAAATATTTTTTCATCGCTATTTAGTTTAATCCCTCAACTTTTCACGACTGCCTAGATTTCATAGCTTGAACTCGAGAAATATAGGTCCCCACGGCCTTTATTTCTCGAGTTCAACCCTCAGTTTTTTCGTCGAGCTGCCCTTCCCTCAAGTCCCAAAAATGAGGGGCCCGTTTTGGAAATTCCACCGCCTCATCACTGAAACCGAACTTATGGCCCATCATTTCAAAACGCCATTACTTAGACCAAGACTCCGATGAGGGTTCACGGCCGAGAAAAGCATGGGTTTACAAAACGGGACAACCCTTGAGCCATCTAGACTCACTTTTTGCAACTGTCTTTTGACTGCTATGGATGAAACGCCCCAGCAAAATAAAAATTTCCCAAAATTTTTATCAGAACTCTCCTATCTGCACATTACATTTTCGGTTGTTCTCTACACTTTATGACGATTTACCCTCCTTGACAGAAAATGTGACTAAAATGAACCAGAATTGACGTCCGCAGAAAAACTGCACTTCAGCAAGTGGGATAAGTAAGCTGATAGTAAAAAACTAATAGCGCCGAAAAGTGGCATTTTCTTGTTCTCTCTGACTGCGATTTAATGGCTTGATTTCCTACATTTGATACTACCCTATTCACTTGAAAAATTCAAAGAAACCATCAAAACAGACCGTACCTGTACACCCGCATCACTTCTGCACCGGTTAAATTAAGAGCTCGTTTGGATATTGTACAAATACACGTGTGTGGAGCCTGCTGTTGGCATTCAGTCAAATATATCACATATGGAGAGCGTGCAATCAGTTCATATAAACGGAATGTAGAATCGCCCTGAAATACTCCGAAATTTAGAAACTGGACCAGCAATGGCAAATATCTTAACCACAGAAAAAAACTGCTGCATCACCTCATTATAACGAAGCTTTAACAGTCGATTCTTATAAGAACAATCCAGTCTACTAAGAGCATTTAAATTAAACTAACCACATACCAACAAAGGGTTTCTACTGTTAAGCAGCTAGAGCGGGTTGAGTCAGCGTTTGATTAAAGAAGACCATCATTGTTTTCAAAAAGGAAGGTACTCATTAACAAGGATATTTGTTTCCAAGTGTTTTTCCGCAAGTGTTTTTCTGTTGTTTTGATTGCCTACTATCTTTCTCAACAATCTCTCCCGAGACCGGACCTTTGCCTTGTAACTCCCCACTCTTTTTATGCCAGAAAAGTATTTCCCGATCATATTTTAGGGGAGGGAATACTGGAAGACTCCTTACACGAATTTGGCAGGCAGATTTGAGATCAGCCAACGAAACCACTTCTAAAAATATGACCGCGTTTCACCCGGTCATGGGGTCTTTCGTCAGAGCGGATTTTTAATAGGGACTGCGAAATTCGACCAAACAGCCAAGGACTGTCGCAATAATCAACGAGATTGGTTTGAAGTTTTCAAAAACTGCACTCGACTGAATACTTAAAAGCAAGGTGGGACAAAACTACGGGACTCATGGAACAACCTAATAATAAAATGTTCGAGTAGTATAGTAAATAGAAGTTTTGTAACAAACTCACCTTTCCAGATACATAAAGAATATTGAGATCCGGATCGAAAATTGGACACAGCAAACCCGATGCGCCATCTATATCTATTGTGGCAAGTGGTGAATCGAAAGACGAAATGGAATATATCGAGAATTGCCGACGATTGATTTTCGAATTACCAAACGTTACCAGACGTTGGGCGCTAACAAAAATCACCTAAAATAATAAATACTGCTAGTACTAGGTTGAAGAGGACGTAACCCTTTTCTCAAAAACCATTCTAGTTGAATAGTTCTAGAACAAGGAGCTCAATGATGATTGAAAACTTCGGAATGAGCAATGTACTCGATTTCAGCACGAAATGGTCTGGTCGCACGAACATTAGCTCGATTACTGGTAAGTCTTTGGGTGTCGATCGATGTCAATTCATTGATTTCTTATCCAGGAAGGTCGGACCAATCGACCAAAATCAGAGCGTAGGACGGAGTGGATGGCACAGATTCGCAGCGGGGTGTAGCAGCGATTGGTAGATGGTTCCTCTAACTCAAACGCTTTCCTAGCCTAGAGATGTTTTACTTGTTCCTTACTGTTACACCTCGCAGTAGGCACCACGGTTTACCGAATTCTGCTTTTACCATTTCACTATTTATCTTTCTTAGCTGCCTCGAGAAGTAAGTCAATCGCCCGCTCACTTTTGTGCAAAGGAAAGTCGTTATATCCCCCACACTAATATCCAATTCCCTTCCTTCACTTTTGTGAAAGTCTTTGTTAGATATGAGCACAGCACAAAAGAGCTCAAAAACTTAGCAACGCTCATCTTTGTTCCAGTTTATCTTCAAAATCGCATTCCCCAAAAGTTGGAAATTCCCCGGTGGACAGAAAAGAGGGGACATGGCAGCGAAATTTCAAAAGCGTAAATCAAGTAAGTAAGGAGCTGGCTTTTAACACAAATCATGGAGATTGATTACCTCTCCGTGAAAGAAAAAAATAGTACTCAGTGAAGAAGCAATCCCAAAGTAATGACGGTTTACTTGAACTAGTTTATCCCCGAAATTTTTCAAACAACCTAGTCATCACTGAACTTTCATCCGTCATGTTTTTCCGGACACATTCCACCTTCCCTCTTCTCATAAACCCGTTACAGCAGAAACTAATCAAGGGGAACTGAGCTCGACAATTAAAAATCCAATGAAATAAAAAACCAAAAAACAAAACGGCACCTTTGGAGGCATCGCGCCATCATGTGGAAGAATGGCACTCTTCATAGCATTACCATTACGAGCATCAAAAATACAAACCCTAAAATGATGGTCCCTTCACAAATATGGGTCCTACACATAAATAACTCATTCAAAAACCAATTTTTACCGATGAGATTGCCTCGATGTGGCGGCGAATACTGACGAATTTGGGGCGAACGCTATACAAGACGTAGAGAAATCGGAAATCTGCAATCCAATAATTCGCTCGGGGATAACTGGGACCATTAAAGAGCCAACCTCATAAATAACGGAATTAGCTTCGACGTCCCAAAGGAATAATTTACTATCTGAACCAGCAGATAATAGCACATTATCCACTGTCGTATGCCATTCGATTTGGTCAACCCGTTTAGTATGCCGTGCTAAGGTCCGTACACATTGTGTCTGCAAGAAAAAAATGTTTCAAAATGTTCAGTGCTCAATACAGGACAGGTACGCGAGCGGTCGCGCAGCGGTCATTACAGAACCGCCCACGCAGATCGAGGCCAAGGGAGACAATTCTAATTACCTTCATTTGATCCGTTACGTGCCATATTTTCACGGAGCAATCAGTTGAACCACTAGCCAGCACATTGTCGTTGAAGTGATCCCATTTGATGTCTGTGACGGGGCCCTGAAAAATCTCGGCATATGGCCATGAAAAGATGCTATCACACCATTTTAAAACTACCGTATGATCTTCTAGTTGAACTATGCCCATATGCCCATGTTTCCCGTAATCATCATGCGTGCCAACCTGAAATGAAGTTTATTGAGATTTCTGGATGATTTTGGATAAACAAAGACAGAAAAACCGTAAACAAGTCCAATGTATGAAATGAAGTTTTTATGACTTATCAGATTCTTCTAATGACAAGATTCTTCTTTCCAGACGGGTAACTATGAGAAGTACGGGATAGTTCAGAGACCTCATCCACATGGATCAACCGCCTGTACACCTCTTTTACCAAATAAGAAGTGACTTTACAATTAATAAGTTCTAATTTTTAACCATATTTGATTGCTAGTTTTATTTTATGAATATTACTGCTGTAGATGTGGTTCTCGAAGGAAGGTCTGTCATAAAGCTGGCAAAGCTTGGAATTTAGTTTATAGTAGTCAAAAAGTAAACTAGTTACCAGTAATACAAAAACAATGCTCTAAATAAAGAATACAATGCTCTTTTCTCCCTTTCTTGTTTCTTTTCTTCCCACTACACCGGCAGTGGAATAGTACAATCTCTCCTTCTGCCTGACCCCGAACTATTACTTTTTTCCATGACTGTCAAGTAAAAAGGGAGCGTTCCAAGAATTCTGAACAACATAACGAGACTACTGCAAATCTGAGTTTATCTCGGGCCGTTCAAGTACCCAAGATAAAGCGCTTTCTTCTCATGCGAAAGAAAAAGCAAAGGCTTTTTGGGGTACAGAACTCCTGCAAAAAAAGTTCCTCTCAAGTCGGAACCAGACAAACTCCGAAAAAACCCTTCCCGCTATTCGTTCAACTCCGCATGACTAGCGCTGGCAACATATGAGCCATTCGAAAGTGAAGGGCAATTTGCAGTGTGAAGGAAGTGCCAGTTTTTTCTCTCACAAATGATTCATATGAGATCGACTAAGGGAATGTTCAGAAACCCATGCCATTATCTTTCATCTGCAGCTATTATAACCAGTCAAAAATAGTGGAGGGATTTCAGAACAATGTTTTGATTTTCTCACACTTAGCCTGCTTTACAATTTCTCAGAGAAGGCAAGAAAAAGGCACAAAACAGATGCGGGTTGGGTTTCAACGAGCTTCCTGAAATTCCTGATGTCTTTGCTCAACCGGTAGCCTTTTCGGTGCACAAAAAATGTTTGGCAAAAAGCCATATTTTCAGGAATCGAAAAATTGTGAGTTCAGAAAAAAACGAATTCATTTGGTCAAGCGGTAGAAGATCTTTCTGAAACTCGGAAAAGGAAGAAGTTGAGAAAATTTGAAAATTCGAAAAAAAATAAACTATTGTAATCAGTGAATCCAAAAAAAGCTTCACAATAACCTACCACAATCTGTCCTCCAGCTCCTCCATCTATCGCCACAGCTATAAACTTCGGATTTGCTGCAATACTGGATCCTAGGGCAGAACCCCAATCGAACCATTCCGTACGTTGAGGTGATTGACCAAAGATATGACGGAATGAGGCCGCACGACTACCTGATGGGCAGCTTTCTTCTGAAAGACAGCAATACGTCTGTGGAATTGGAAGAACCAACTTTTTCCCTGCCAACTTCTTGCTGAAGCCCAATGCAAACATTGGGATTTCCGCCAACAAAGTGCACTCAGTGCATCCTTGAAAGTGCTTTCTGTCATTTGCAGGCCTGACCTCATTTTCTGCCAGGACTTGATTTATGAGGGTTGAAAAGGAACGTTCAATGAGTCACCGCTTCAGAAAATTCTGACAAACAGCAGGCGCATTGTTTTCGTGACTATGGTCACAATATTTTCTCCAGATCAATCAAAAGTTATGGATTGGTCTAGGGCCTGGACTAGTATGAAGCTTCAAAACAACCGAACAAATCACTGCTCACATCCCGACCAACGGCTTGAACGAATGCCTCTTTTTTGTAATTCAACCACAGTAGCTGCCTACTCCAGAGCTAATGTGACATCGACAGAAACCACGCTTGTCTGTGAATTGGAGTTATGATTGAGATACAAAAGTGGGGCAATATGAGGAAGGAAATCATGAAGAAATCAAATCATGGAAGGAATTATCAGATCAAGATCAGAAAAGAACAGCCGCTGCATCGGAAAACCCTGACGGAGAACGCTGTGACGAAGTCGACTGCAACCAAAAATCAAAACACGAGAACAAGTATAGAATGAAAGATGGAACCTAAATTTCAAAGAAATTAAGCTAATGATTCCCTAACTCTAGGTATCACCTCCCTCCAAAGTTTATCAAAAAGGAATTTTGACAGAAATTCCGACAACAGTAAAGCCGGTCATTCAAAACCGACTTTTTTTCTCACAGATGATATGTCAAATGAAGGTGAAGAACGACGATGATAGATTTCGAAATGAAAAGGGAAAACACTCAAAGAATCCAGAAATCGGGGAAAAAACAAAAAAGAATGTCCAGTAACAAAAGCGAAACCTTTGCCCTACAATTTAGAAACGAATTTTTCCAAAAATTGGTAAATAAAGCGTACAGCTCACCCATCCCCTCGGCTAGATTTGGGAACGCTTAAAGCTGCAGAGCATTACAATCTTCACAAAACAACAGACGTCCCTACTGGTCGAATAACTTCAAACAATACTGCTTAGACAGGGAAGAAGTAGGTACGAAAGGCAGTAAAGACAAAAGAATTTCAAAGTGTCTCACCTGCAGGCATGTGGTAACCCAGCTATGAACTACGTCGAGTACGCATAGAAGAACAAGTAGGATCTACTGAAGAAGTAAAAAATGTTGAATATCTAAACAGACACTTCAAATTAGAATTCCTTAAACATTCACAGAATAAGTGTACTACAGTAATGAGACAGAACGTTACAGTAATAAAAAGATAGCCATAGAGAACAGTAGCCACCTTTTCACTAGTGACACATCAGAGAGGGCTTTGAACGAATCTTCAAAGAGAGTAGAAAGCAGAGAAGCCGATATCACGGTCAAAACCATGGGTCATCATTACGATAGCGTAAAATTCAAATTGTTTATAAAGTCACTGACGTTGTATTTACAATACCCAAACAAGCTCAAAAACACAACAAAAACAAAAAATTCGTCGAACTGAGTTCTCATTCGAACTGTTTCATATACTCCGTGACTTCAGGATTATCCTTGATGGTTTTCAAGTACTTATGGTACTTGTCTCTGATAATTTTGAAAGTGAATGGAGTCGAATATGGCAGGCCAGTGACAGGATCGCGATATCGGGCAGGCTGGCCCGTCACTGCACACACATATGACGGTTTCACATCTGGCCTTTTGAAAACCTACAACAAAAACTATTGATTTTTCTCGATAATGTCTGAAATTCAAGAGAACATACTAAATTCAGCTAACTATCCAAATAATGAAAAGGAAGCCATTGATAGAGATGAAAAGAGTGGCTTCAAAGAAAATTATTGGGTTGTAACATAAGTTCATAGAGCTTTGCGTTAGAGTTATTTTGCAACGTTTTGTTTTGTTTTTTAGCAAAGTGTATACATTCATTCGAAAGAGCTTTTTCTCCTCTACAAAACTGTTTTATCTGTTTTTTT